ATAATATTTTTTATTTCTTTAGGAAGCCTTGGGTCAACTTGAGTAAGGTTACGACGAACACTGTGGTGCATGTTATCAAGGTTAAAGGTTTTCAGAGAATCCATTATGGAACCTTGCCGTTCATTAGGATTAGTTGGAACATGTAGGCCGCTCATTGCGATTCAGAATTCGTGAAGAAAAACAGAAACCAATTTTTCCACTAATCAATTACGTAGTTTTTTATATGCATATACAGTAATAAAAAAAACCTTGTACCACCCGGATAAAAAAAGTAGACTTCTCACTATAATGAAACGCCAAGTCTAGTATTAAGGTGTATACAAGGCCGATCAAATTACAAGTTTATGATTGACAGGGCTCAATGACAAATGAGAAAGGTATTAAAAGAAAAAGATCCAGAGAGTTGCCTACTTCGGATTAAAAGAAATGGAATTTGTTAACTCTCGTTGAAGAATGGGTACGGTTTCATCTGATTATAGTATTTTATTTTTTATACTACTGCATTGTAATTGTAGTAGAGAAAGCTCGCGTGTAATTTGTGTCACAGTCACGTGAAATCTATTTACACAGTAAAAAGGTATAATAACTTCATCCCGCTTGTGGTGATAACGAAATTTGCAGATGGAACAGAATTACCGTTCTCGAAAACAATCATTTATCGAATGCAATATAGAAATCCTCGAACGGGAATTTTATCCGTCGAAAAAGTGGCTATCGAAGAATTCGAATTCCGAGGAACCGTTGGATTCGAGTGTGGTGGATAATGTTTTAAACGACCGTAATTTTCATCACATTCAAGTAGATCGAAAGTATTCGTTTTCCCAGTTATGTAAACGAAATGATCTCACGAAAACTTTTCTTTTTTTAATTTCACCATTGAGTGAAAAATGTCAATCGAACGCAAAACAAACGAATCTTTAATCGTCAAACTATTCGCCAAGTGCTTGAACAACTTTGCATTATTCGCGATCAAAAGTTTAAGGATGCAGTGGAAGGTCGAATTCGCGTGGATAAAAAACCCGATCATGATGATATCAAGTGTGCTTAGTCTTATCACGTTTTTACTCGCGTGAAATTTTTTTAATTATGCCTCATTTTAATTGTGTGCAGATGGATCGAAACACTTCCCGAGGAATGGCCGCAATTAGAAAATAATCAATTCGACAAAGAAAAACTAGAAGAGTAATTAATAAAAAACCAGGGTTTTATTGTATATGTTAGTTTTAATATACCTAATAGAGACCATTAAAACAAAAGGTACTCCAGGTTGCGATCGAATGTTTATCAAGTACAAAAAGATTATATTGCAATTAAAGAGAAGCTAGAGTGCTATAAGGTAACGCAAGACGAGAAGAAGAAAAACCATTTTAATCACAATTAAATCTCAAATTTTCCTTTTCACAATCTAATCGAAAGGTACTTCATAAACTGATGGAACCATTAAACACGTCGACCATCCAGCAAAGTCTAATCACACGTGACTCTCCGGTGGTCAAAGAAATCGCCAAGATGAGAATTTTAAGTGAGTCATTTTCACCATCAACTTCCGAGATGTCGTGCTTTTAGGACCTTCCTGTTAATCAGAATCACTTTTGTTTTGCACGATAATAAACCTTTTTACATTTATTCCAAAGTACCAAAGTTATTGAGTACGTTGGAACGAAAACATGAATTTCTTAAACGAAGTCGTGAAGAAAGAAAAGGTATTCCAAATCCACGAATAAAGTGATTGATCTTGATCTAAGTCGGTAATTGATTTTGTCATTCGCAGACGAGTCAAGAACGCAAACAAATACAATGGATGCTATTAGAAGTTTGTTTAACTGTGAAGAATAGTGTCTAATAAAAAATACTATCGCCGAGATGAATGTTTTTAGATGCGAAAAATAAAATAAATATAAATTTCCAACACCCAAAAAATGAACGGTGAATGACTTTTCTTATAAACTAGGTTTCTCCTAAATATTACCTTATCTATTGCGGTCGATGCTGTGAACAAAAAAAGCAAAGCAACCTCACCATAACATTACCTCTGGGAAACACTTTCGGAATTGTTGATTTTATCCATTATTGATAAACAAGAAAGTAAACAAGACAATTCTTTCTATATCTAATAATATGATTGAATATAGTAAAAGAATTAGAAGTTGTGTTTTTTTATGCAAGTTAATTTTGATATTTCTCTCTCTCCCTTAGCAAATTGGATTCTTTTTCTTCAAAATAAAAAGGTTATTATATATTAATAAAAAGCTATTAAATATATTTCTATTTTCAAAAAAATAAATAAATGAAGGAATAACTAAACAATAAGTTAAAATTGTATTATAAAACTTAACTTTCGCATAAATTTTTTAAATATTCTTAATTTGTATAATATTAATAAAAATTAAATAAAGTGTTTAATTGTAAGTAATATTAAGGATTAAAAGTTAAGACTTGAAGTTAAATAATTAATAAATTAATTTTTTTTATAATAAAATAGTTAGCAAATAATTACAGTAAGTTATATAGGAAATATAATAATTTTAGTATTAAAGATTTAAGGATTATATACAGTGGGTGGACAAAAGTTTATGGACAACTTTAAAAATTAAAAATTAAATTAAATTAATAAAAAATTAA